ATAGTCTTAATAGTGGGTTGGCCAAAAACGTCATTTGGGTTTTTTCCATCAAATCTTTTTTTCTTACTTTATTTATTTTTAATTGAAGGATAATTACAATGTTGTGTTGGTTTCTGCCATATATCAACTTGGTTCTTTCATAGGTATTCCTACGTCCCCTCCCTCCCATTATATCCTATGGAAAAACCCAAGCAAACTTTTTGGGCAACCCAATAATAGATGTGGGTTAAGTGATTAATTCAATTTGTATTATATATATCATTTGCTATACTCATGTCCTTGGATAGAGTATTTCCCAGAGACCATCCAAGTGATCTTCTCAGCCAACCTGTTACTCTTATTTGGCTTTCCTGCTTGTGGGTTTACATCTTCTTCCACTAAAGTTTTAAACAGTCAGTGATTGTTTACTTTGCTTATTATTAGACTTCCTGTGTATTCTTCATGGTAAGATCTTTCAGACAGCCACGTGGGAAGTGATATTTGTACAAGATCACACATAGTGTAAACAAAAGAAAATGTTGTTTTTTTCACATCAGTGTCTTGCTCTTAAGATCCTTTGTGACTGGAGATTTTCTTTTCCTTTTTTAAACAATTGACCCATCCATGCCAATATCTCCTCATTTTAATAAGTTGTGCAGTTCTGTATGTTTTACATATCCATAAATTACACCTTAAAGCAAGATAAAATGGAAATACTGATGTAAATTTGCTGTCATTAAAAAAAAGAAAACATACACATACGCACGCACATATGCAAACACACACAAATTCCACTTACCCGAAAGGTGATAGCGAGAGTGGTGTGAGAGATGACTGGCCTTCTGCCAACATGTTAGTGCTGAGTTTCTGGGTGTTGTATATAATTAGAGAGTTTTGTCATATGAGGACTTTTCATCACTGATGATACTCAAGATTATTTGTCTTTTCCTGAGTATGCCCTTGGAAACATTTGTTTAAAATGGTTAAAGCCAGTGCTTAATGGATAAACAAACTATAGTACACTCATAATTGTGGAATACCATTCAGCAATTTAAAAAATTGCCAGTTTGAATGGATTTCAGAGGCATGGTGCTAAGTGAAGGATGTTCAGTTCAGTTCAGTCGCTCAGTCGTGTCCGACACTTTGCGACCCCATGAACCGCAGCACGCCAGGCCTCCCTGTCCATCACAAACTCCCGGAGTTTACTCAAACTCATGTCCATCGAGTCGGTGATGCCATCCAGCCATCTCATCCTCTGTCGTCCCCTTCTCCTCCTGCCCCCAATCCCTCCCAGCATCAGGGTCTTTTCCAATGAGTCAGCTGTTTACATCAAGTGGCCAAAGTATTGAAGTTTCAGCTTCAACATCAGTCCTTCCAATGATCACCCAGGACTTATCTCCTTTAGGATGGACTGACTGGATCTCCTTGCAGTCCAAGGGACTCTCAAGAGTCTTCTCCAACACCACAGTTCAAAAGCATCATTTCTTCAGCGCTCAGCTTTCTTTATTGTCCAACTCTCACATCCATACATGACCACTGGAAAAACCATAGCCTTGACTAGATGGACCTTTGTTGGCAAAGTAATGTCTCTGCTTTTTAATATGCTATCTAGGTTGGTCATAGCTTTCCTTCCAAGGAGTAAGCGTCTTTTAATTTCATGGCTGCAGTCACCATCTGTAGTGATTTTGGAGCCCAGAAAAATAAAGCCAGCCACTGTTTCCACTGTTTCCCCATGTATTTGCCATGAAGTGATGGGACCAGATGCCATGATCTTAGTTTTCTGAATGTTGAGCTTTAAGCCAGCTTTTCCACTCTCCTCTTTCACTTTCATCAAGAGGCCCTTTAGTTCTTCTTCACTTTCTGCCATAAGGGTGGTATCATCTGCCTATCTGAGGTTACTGATATTTCTCCCAGAAATCTTGATTCCAGCTTGTGCTTCTTCCAGCCCAGCATTTCTCATGATGTTCTCGGCATATAAGGTAAATAAGCAAGGTGACAATATACAGCCTTAACATACTCCTTTTCCTATTTGGAGCCAGTCTGTTGTTCCATGTCCACTTTTAACTGTTGCTTCCTGACCTGCATACAGGTTTCAATGTTAGCTAGTGTCAAAGTTTGCACAGGTATGATGTTCTGAAAAAGATGAAGCTGTAGGGTGAGAACAGGTCAGTGACTGCCATGGCGTAGGGAGAGGGGACAGCTGGATCACAGTGGCATCACATGCAGGACTTTTTGGGGGGAGGAGCTGTTCTGTGTCTTAATACTGGTGGTAGTTACACGAATACATACCTGTATTAAAACATCATCATACTATACACACACGTAAGAAGCCAGTTTCAGTATGTGTTAACTTTTTTAAAGTAAAATTTAAAAAGAAAAGTTACAGTGCTTGATTACGCTTGTTGAGAACAACAACAACAAAAATCTCAAGACGGCAAATGCCAAGTATTCCTACAAGAGAAATACTAATTGTAATTTTTTAATGAAAAAATTACCAATTTGTTAGTAGGTTTACAAAAAGCTGCAAATAATGCAGTTTCTACTCAATGAATAAACCCTTTGTCTCCACGCAGGATGTAAGGAAATGTTCAGTTATATGTCCCCCAGCGGCTGTAACCCGGTCCCCCTTTGCTTCTGTAGCCTTTTCTGTCTTCTTTATGGTGATCACTTTCCTTCCTTGGTGTGTATATACAATGTGTGACAGTTACAGGGGCCATGGGAACCATAACTTTTAAGTTCCGTGAGTTTTCTGTGGGTAAAACCAGCCATCATGTTGAATTAATGTCATTCTTCACATTTAATTTCCATGTTATTCTAAGCGGAAGACTTAGCATGTATCTGAAGGAAAGGCCCTTGATCGTTTCTGATAGCATGTAAATGATGGTGGTGATGTGGACTCATTTGTCACTTCATGAGCATTATCGTTAGTTGTCACTTCATCAGTTATCATTAAGCGCAGGGAGGCCTCTCTTGGGAGAGTGTGTAGGTGTGCTGATTGAGGAGTGATGCTTCTTAGGGAACATCCTCTCTCCTGTTTGGACGTGGAAGATACTGGGCCCCTGTTACTGAGCCATAACCACTCACTCTGAACAGGAGTTCTGGTCCCAGCACCAGTGGTTTTGCAGAACTGCCTTCAAATAGGAGTGATTCAGTGGGGCATTGATTCGTTTCATGAAACTGGAGACACTGACGGGGTGATCACACACAGATGTTACTTGTTGGTTCTGCACATGAAGACCTGAGCGGGCCAGTTTGGTCTTGCAGATCAGGCAAAGGAGGAATTTTTGAGCTTCCAGAAGATGACCGTGGGGGATGCAGTGGTGTAAAAGGCATGAGGAGACATTTTCTGAACTTGAGAGAGTTGAGTTTGGAATATTGATGGTCCTCATAAAGCAGCCCGCAGTCTATCCTGTCTCCCTCTCCTGGGTGTCATTTTACACGTAACACAGTAGATATTAACAAACTGGGAACCAGACGGGAGGTGACCAGAGGCCCAGCTGCTCCCTTCCTTGTCTACTGCCGGGATCAAGCCCACACTGGGAGAGATGGGTGGTCGTGGTCCTTCCACAGCTGGGGCTTCCAGTGACTGAAGTGCTGGGGTCCTTAGAGCAAGGTCCAAGTGCCTGCCATCACCCTGGGTCCTGAATGAAATGTATTCACAGTTGAGGGACATTTGACTAAGACTGGGAGAAAGAGGCAGGTGTGATGAGAGAAACTCAGGTGCAAACATCTATAGGAGCACCCCGTGCTCACTGCTGAGGGCTTATGAGGTCCCATGTGACTTGTGATCGGGGCTCGTTCCTGCCTCGCCACAGCACTTAGTGGGGACAATGTGTGCTGAGGGGGTGGACCAGAAAGCCCTGACTTGTTTTCAGCCCTTGGTCAGCCCTCTTAGCATCTGAAGAAATGCCCTTTTGCTCTAGAATCCAGGTTCTGTTGCTGCCTAAGCTCCACGAGAGAGAGAGAGAGAGAGAGAGACAGTGTCTTGGAAGGCAGTCTGCCTTCCACCCAGGCAGGCTCTCTGAGTTGAGTCTGCTGTGCCAAGGATCAATGATCACAGCGCATCCGGTCCCCACCTTCACCCCTGCAGAGCTTCAGGGTCATCTGAGCAATCTCTGCAGGACTGCTGCCTGTGTCTAAATTTACCCACAACTTCAGAATTACTCAGCCTTGTTTGGAGGGAGAAATCTCATATTTTCCCACAGGAAATGAGCCCCAGCTAAAGTGTCCAACAAGCGGGGACACACCCCAAGTGCTGGGAGGCCTTTTGCTCATTTCCCTTCCACTCTCTGTGCCTTTTCATGTAGGCATCTAGCCTCACATCGAGCCCAGAACTTCATAAAATCCCAGAGCTCCTGGGGACCTCACATTTGTGCATAAAAACTTGGTAAGACTGCAGATGTCTACTGTGTCCCATACTTACTGCTGAGCCAGACTCACTTCATTGCCCAGTGGCATCATTTCCTGGTTATTGGAGGCATATTTAAATTGGGAAATACAGACACCTTCCCATCTGAGATCATTTGTTGAAAATCTGCATTTTCTTATTGGTTCTTGTTCATGAGATTATGGTTGGAGGAAGGTCTTTGTGATCATGTTTGAAATGGGTCCTACCTGACTGATGAGCTTAGGTCTCTGGTACCTGTTCTGCCCTTTTCTTGTTTATGGCCGGGGTCCAGGCAGGCCCCTGATGCTCCCGCCACCTCCTCTGGGACAAAGCTGCTGGCACATTGATGCCTAGCATGAACTACAGACGTGCTGGCCGCCCCACAGGAGAGGAGAATCGGCCTTATCTACACGCTGATCAGTGACTAAAAGGGCAAAGGCTGTAGCCTCATGGACTCCAGTGAGTCAACCTTTTACTGCCAAGACTAACCACATGCTCTGGAAGGCAGCCCGCACATCTGAAACCGAGTATGCAAATGGCAGCTTCAAACCTGTTAAAGGATATCCTCGTGGGTGGATATTCTTTGGCTTTTTTAAAGCAGGGTTGTTATTCCTTTTTTTCTTCTTGTTGACAGAAGCTCTGTGGAAGTGGTGATCTGAATGCTGCCCTGACATCTCAACATTTCAAAGAGCAATCTGTAAGTGACATTCCTTAAAAACAAACACTAAGTACTATAAATATTTCCTGTCAAATGTTTGGATCTTTGCCTCTTTTTATTTCTAAAGGATGTGGAACTGTAGTCACCCGCAAAGACAGACCCTGCAAATTGTGGCTGGAAAAGATGAATTCAGTTTCTATTGATTTGTCAGAGTGGAATAGATTCTTCTAAAAATACAAAGCCTTGAGAATGAGGGAGATGGTACAGGAGACAAAGCCATTTTGAAGTGCTTTGAAATGTGGGCCAAGAAACTTTCAAAAGAAGGCTGTTGAGAGTGACTTAGCCACAGATCGATTAATTGAAAGTTAAATAAGTGAACAACACATCATTTTATCTGTAGGTTTTCTTTTGAGAGGCACACCTTTGCTCTTTTCAAAACCTGAATTGGATTCGTTTAAGAAATATTCAGAAACAGACTCAAATTTGATGTAATGGCTTATAGAAGTTGATGTGTTCCTGGAGAGGGAAGGGAACTTGGGAGAGGTGAGACTGTGTTTAAGTGTGGGAAGCACTATAATGAGGCTCAGGGGGTGAAAAAAAATATGCCCCAGAGAGGACGTGTCTCCCATGGGGACCCAGGGAGGGATATGTGTTAGTGGGCATGGATCAGGAGGCTGTCATCTGAGTCGTTGTGAACTAGAATCTTTCTATTACACGTGAACTGGTGGGAGTGGGTAGGCGAGGGGAGAAAAGGAACGAGACACCCCACATCTGAGCGTGGAGGTGTGGAGCCCGCCTCATGGCTGGACGTCTGTGTGCTGAGTCCTCTCTGGGTGATCCACTGGAAGCTGTAGGATAAAGGATCCTGCAGGACATGAGTGAGTTTAAGGGGATGTCATATGTCAGCATGCAACTCATCTATTAATACTCCTTCTTGAAAAGTTAATATTGCAAAACTCTTTTCATGAATTCTCATAGAATCCCTCTGGGGAGAAAGATAAAGAACAGGGTAAGCATGTCATCAATGTAGGTGTGGGTGGAGTATGCTAGATTTGCCATGATTGCAAGCATCCTTTTTCCTGAAATGAAGCATTCCCACATTCTGTTTCTCGGGCCAAAGACAACTGACTTCACTTACCTCTCCATCTGTGCAGGGTCTCAGGGAAGCTGGCGATGGCTTGAGTAACCTGCCCAGCCCTTTTGCCTACCTTCTCACCATCCACCTGAAGGAAGGTCGGAACCTGGTGGTCCGGGATCGCTGTGGTAAGGCCTGGCCCTGTGTGCCGTTGGTAACCTGGGCACCTCTTCTTCCTTACCCTCTGTCAACCCTGCGAGTCAGCCTTTTCTGTCTCAGCACGGCTGGTGCTAGACTGGAGCTCTCGATCTCAATTTCTCCAGGTGTCAAGTATTTGCCGTGAGTTATTGATACACATAAAATCTTACCATCCTTTTCTCTGATTAAATCAATAATAATCATCAAGTATGAATAATCACATAAAGTTGTAGAAGAAAACATCACTTCAAGTGCTTTATGGGGCTTCTCTGGTAGCTCCGTGGTAAAGAATCCACCTGCAACGTAGGAGATGTAGGTTCGATCCCCTGGGTCAGGAAGAGCTCCTAGAGAAGGAGGTATCTATTTTTCCTTTGTTGTCCTTTTTCATTTATTTTGTCTAGAAGCTGCAGTCTTTTTGTTCTAAAGAGTTTTGTGTCTTTCTTTGGGTTTTTGCCAGACTCAACCAATCTTTGCCAGTTCCTCTCTACTCTGTTTTGGAACAACTATGAAAAGGGTCACCCTTCCGTCTGTCTTCTCTGTCTCTTATCTTTTCTTTCTCATTCTTGCCATTACTTTTCTTTTTTTCCAGGAAGAATTCCTTAGCTGGGCCTTCCCGCTCACTCATTTTCTCATTAATTGTTATGAGCATTGTGCTACTCTGTTCATCTTTTGAGTTGTCTTTTTAAAAACAAATTTTAGAACAGTCTATGTTTGTTTCGGGCTTCCCTGGAGGCTCAGTGGTAAAGAATCTACCTGCAGTGCAGAAGACTCAGGAGACACGGGTTTGATCTCTACCGGGGTTGAGAAGATCCCCTGGAGGAGGGCGTGGCAGCCCACTCCACTTTTCCTGCGTGGAGAGCCCCATGGCCAGAGGAGCCTGGTGGGCTATAGTCCGTCGGGTTGCAAAGAGTCAGACATGATGGAAGTGACTTAGCACACACAGCATGTTTATTTCATGTGTAAGTTACTGCGGTCAGCTTTGAGAGCATTAAGTGTACATTAAAAATCTCCCGCTTGCTGCTTTCTTCCTTGGGTATCCTTTTTGTTTTCCACTCCTCTTTTTATGTGTCCCTGTTGCCGTCTGTAGATGCTGTTTTGGTGTACCGTGTCCTGTCTTCACGGAGCAGCATTGGAACATGCATCTGGACAGGGAGAGCCAGTCGTTGAGGCCAGCTCCTTCCCACCCCTCCCAGTTAGCAGCAGCTCCTGGTTATCCCCGGTCATGGAAGGCCTTCCTCTCTGCCTTCGTGCCCACACTCACCATTCCTGCTTGCAAGTCACTGCTGGTCACTGCTCGGCCCCAGAGGGACAGGGCGGTGCTGGCCCACCCCGCTGCTGTGTGTGTGTGCCAGCCAGTCACGCTGGCACTTGCTCGGGCCATCTTCTGCTTCCTGCCTCTGTTGCCTCGACGCTTGGAGCATCCCTGGTCCTCCTGCCATGCTATCCTCTTGCCTCACCTCTGTCCCTGAAACTTTCTGTGCTGTGACTTTCTTTTTATTGCTCCCATTTAGGAGTGTGGTTTCGTCCATCAATCTGAACTGACATCCAGCTTTTAGGGTGGAGTTTTTTAAAACAAACAACATTTTAAAACAAAATTATCTTTCTTTTTGTAATTTCTCAGGATTTCAAACTAGCAAACAAATCTCATTTTCTCTTTGCTGGGAAATAGTGTTTTCTGTCAAAGTTATAATTTCTTATCTATGAATTGTGCAACTTCTTGGGTAGTGGTATTGTAAACTCTTTATTATAAATGTCTGTGCTGTATTAGGTAGCTCTCTTATGGTTATTTTGAAGGGTTTGGGGCAGATAGCATTTTAGTCCCTGTTGCCGTCTGTAGATGCTGTTTTGGTGTACCGTGTCCTGTCTTCACGGAGCAGCATTGGAACATGCATCTGGACAGGGAGAGCCAGTCATTGAGGCCAGCTCCTTCCCACCCCTCCCAGTTAGCAGCAGCTCCTGGTTATCCCCGGTCATGGAAGGCCTTCCTCTCTGCCTTCGTGCCCACGCTCACCATTCCTGCTTGCAAGTCACTGCTGGTCACTGCTCGGCCCCAGAGTGACAGGGTGGTGCTGGCCCACCCCGCTGCTGTGTGTGTGTGCCAGCCAGTCACGCTGGTACTTGCTCGGGCCATCTTCTGCTTCCTGCCTCTGTTGCCTCGACGCTTGGAGCATCCCTGGTCCTCCTGCCATGCTATCCTCTTGCCTCACCTCTGTCCCTGAAACTTTCTGTGCTGTGACTTTCTTTTTATTGCTCCCATTTAGGAGTGTGGTTTCGTCCATCAATCTGAACTGACATCCAGCTTTTAGGGTGGAGTTTTTTAAAACAAACAACATTTTAAAACAAAATTATCTTTCTTTTTGTAATTTCTCAGGATTTCAAACTAGCAAACAAATCTCATTTTCTCTTTGCTGGGAAATAGTGTTTTCTGTCAAAGTTATAATTTCTTATCTATGAATTGTGCAACTTCTTGGGTAGTGGTATTGTAAACTCTTTATTATAAATGTCTGTGCTGTATTAGGTAGCTCTCTTATGGTTATTTTGAAGGGTTTGGGGCAGATAGCACTTTGCACCTGGAATCACATCTGAGGGACACGATCATAAACCAGAGTCAGGTAACTGCCCACCCACGAATATCCCAACTCTTGTTGAGAACCCACAGTATCTGGTGGATGCTTCCATGAAATGGTGGTCATTTCAGAGCTTGACTGGGGACACCTCATCTGCACCTTAGAAATATGTTCCACCAAGAGTTCATTTAACCTGACTGGAAAGAAAGTGCTGTAAACTTTAAAATACTTGTCCTGTTTTGAATTTTTGAAACACTTCAAAAGTCTGTCACTTTGGAGATGTGCCCAGACCTTGGGCTTCTTCCAGGACCAGCTGCCCCTTTCCCAGTTTTGCCATCTGTTCTAGCTGTTGTATCCCTTATCTGTGTGAGTGGTCTGGCCACACCACCCTTGCTGAACAACGCTGGTACACTTATAGCAGACACCCAGGAGATGCTCAGTAAACTTGGCAAATGATGGGGATCCATTGCCTGCATCAGAGAATGACCGAAACAATAAGGTTTATGTGTACCTCCTCCATACCTCACTGCTTCAGGGCCAAAGGAGAGGCTGTGGTCTGTGCTCTAACCCTGTCATAGTCATCTCTCTTTATGGTTTCATCAGAGCTAAACATCATATGACAGGTTGGCTTTATCTTTTGTACACCTAATATAATCCAAATATAAATAACTAGTAAGGAGTCTAGGTCATAACCTGTTCTAGCACCTGTGTCTTTTATAACCGGTAGTAACTGTTCCTGTCTCTTTTATTTATTGGGAAGATTAATCATTATCCATTAAGAAAACATCCCCTCCCAGAAAGTGTTTGTGACTGCATTCATTACTGCTTGCTTTTCGCAGGTATTAGGGTGTGATCAGGGCATGCTGGCTGCCCACTGTTGATTTCTGCAGGGATCACAGTCTTTGGCATCTGTGCCCTGCCTCCTTTGTGTGGGGTTGACGGGTCTTATCACTCCGACAGTGTTTTCCATGGAGCCCAACTCAGAATTTTATCCATTGCAGTCCTTGGGACCAGTAGTTTTCAAAATTGAGTGAACGTCTGAACAGCCTAGAGGACTTGTGAAAATATGCCTTGCCCACCCACAGAAGTTTATGATTCAGTATGTCTGATGTGGTGCCAGAGAACTTATAGTTCTAACAGGTTCCCAGGCGATCACAACACAGCTGGTCCAGAAACCACGCTGTGAGGACCACTGCTCTAGGCAATGAGCCGTGGCAGGCGAACAGAAACACGTGCTTCTCCTGATAGGGAGCATTTCAGTCCTCTCTTAGACATAGCGTCCTCTTTTCCTGGGGCTGGACCTCATTATGTGTTTGCTCTCTAACTTAATTTGTATTCTCTGAACATAATTTAATTTGGTATTCACCTAATTAACATAATTAGGTGCAAAGAGCATTGTGATGTGCCGAAATTTACACTATGTATTCTGTATCCCTTGGACTGCAAGGAGATCCAACCAGTCCATCCTAAAGGAAATCAGTCCTGAATATTCATTGGAAGGACTGATGCTAAAGCTGAAAACTCCAATACTTTGGCCACCNGGTCACAAAGAGTTGGACACGACTGAGCAACTAAACTGAACTGATCACATGGACTCTGATTTTCTGAATATAAGATCAGTAGCTGATTTTTTCAATACTAAATGTCCTTCAAGATCTATTCAAATGTAACTTCTATCTAGTCTTTTATGTTTTTCACAGACACAGGCTCCTTGTCATCTCAGTGTTATGAACGTTTACCTCTACAGACCATACACCTTTGCCCTTAGTGGGATAAGTGATTGATCCTCCCTGTTAATACTGGTGCTGCATTAGCAGGGTGACCATTTTATTTATCTTCATATGTCCTGCAGTGCCATGTGTTGTGTGCACTGTCATGTCCAACTCTTTGCAGCCCCATGGCCAGACTGGTGGTTTATACACACAGTGCTTCTAATGCATTTTAGTTCTTCATTAGGGAAATCCCTGGCCTTAAAGACAAGGAGCATTAAAGACTACCGTGAAAGGGAAAACATCTGCCCTGGAAGGAATAGAACTCCTTCATTCACTCCTTGATTCAGCGAGTGCTTATTTGGTCCCTTCAATGACATGAGCATCACACTGGAACTTGACTGTGACCTGGTGATAAAGTCTGGAAAAAAAAAAGATAAGACATATATACAATTTTAAAATGTCACACAGATCACCAGCTTCAACCCATTTAACAGGAGTCCTAATTCAGGTGACTGAGGTACAGAGACTTCATCGGGGACTTGCAGGGAGGCAGTGGCTGGGGCAGGTCTTGGCAGAGTGGGTGGCTCTGGATCAAGTAGAGGACTGTGACATGACAGTCCACTTCCTGGCTTGTGACTTCCTATGGCAGCTCGCTCACTCTGAAGTGGAATTTACCCATCTGCAGAATGGGCACAATGCAGCTTGTCTTAT